AGGTCATCTCGGAGTGCAAGCACGGACTGAAGAAGGACTTTTGGTTTGGTACAATTACAGAGCCCCTTTCCCTTAAAAAGATAACAAAATGTAGTTCTCTATCTAAATTACATTTTTTTATAGTAAAAATAACATTTTTATTGAGAACATCCTTGTGGTTTAGTGACCACCTTGTCTTGTAAAATGACTTCTCATGCTTCGATTTGGAAGTGGAAGTGTGGGGTTCGAATCTCATCTCCAACATAAAAAAAATAAATAAATAACATTTTAATTTTTCAATGAAAACAAGAAGTCTTATATTCATACCGCAGGCATGCAACTGAAGTAGCTAAGAAATGAGAAGTTAATTTGGCTCTGTGCAACTGTAAATAAAAAAAATTAATTTATTTCTTGATCACATCTTAGTTTGGTATGGTTGACTTCATAAAATTTTCAAGAACAATGATTGAGAGATAATTTTTTTTTTTGTATAATTTTTATACACAATCTTATATATCATTTAATAATACACATTTTTCACTCCAATAAACTCGTAATATTTGTATGTATTCATTTATTTAATGATATGTAAAAATTATATAAAAAACTTATATAAAAATATTATCCACATATTATTTTCCAATCTCTAATTGTAAAAATTACTATACTTCCCAGTGTGATCCCTCTTTATAAACCAACGAGAGCACAATTTATGTGCTATGATTATGATCACCATTAATTTTGTGAAAGCCACAAATGTTGTCAAATTTTTATTTTAATTTGATTGTTAAAAATAACTTATAATTGATAAAATAATTAATATTTATTATTTAATAGATTAAAATTAGTTTATAAACATATATTTCCAAATATCAGAACCAAATGTTTAAAAAAAAATTATAAAATGATGAAATTACAACTAAAATTGGTGGTCTTAACAAAAATATTGGTGATAATAAGCTCACCCCAGTTACATAATTATATATATTATACATGTATTTTTTTTATAATATATATTAATAATTAATTCTTAAACCTATGGTTAAAAACACAAGTAACTACAATGCCAACCCACATGACTAATGATATATTCTTTATGTATTTGATAACATGGTATATCATTGTAGATGTATAATCATCTACTTTTAATTGTCCCTACTCCTTTTATATATATATGGTTAAATCTCCATTTTAGTCCCTGAACTATTGTATGGACCCCCGATTGGGTCCCTAAACTAAAGAAATCCCTGATTTAGTCCTTAAACTATTGTACGGACCTTGATTTGGTCCTCACTGTTTATAATTTAGCCTAACTTGGTCCTTGAACTATTGTACGGACCCCTAATTTGGTCCTTACTGTTTACAATTTTGCCCCAATTTGATCCCTGAGCTATTATTTAACAGAAGGACCAAGTTGGGGTTAAATTGGTAAACAGTATGGACCAAATTGGGCATCCGTACAATAGTTTAGGGACTAACTTGGGAGTCCGTACAATAGTTCAAGGACCAAATTAGGGATTTCTTTAGTTCAGGGATCAAATCGGGGGTCCGTACAATAGTTCAGGGACCAAAATAGGGGTTTAACCTATATATATATTTGAAGAAAATACACTTAATTTGAAGTCTGACACTTAGATTGATTTAATTGTTTGAAATAGTCTACAATTAATTACATATATCTATGTTGATAATTATTTTTATTTATAATTCAAATATGGGGTTAGTGTTTGTTTGCTTTATTTCCAAAAAATTAAGAAGAAAAAAGACAAAAAACACCTTAATTCATGTTTTAAAAATAAGATATTTTAGTTTTTTTTCAATAAGTGTTTATTAAAATAACGTAGTTTTGAAAAATACTATTCCTCTTAATCTTTAGAAAATAAGACAGATAAACATTATTTCCTTTAAATATTATCTAGCGTTGGATATATAAGCAATTAATTATGCATTATTCAATAGGGGGTTTGGTCTATTCAGTGCAGATAAATTAAGTAGAATCTTAAATTTTGCTATTTAAACATGTTTTATGATCTGTTCGATTTGAAGGAAAGTGAAAAAAAATTATTATAATTAATTAAATTATTTTGTTAACGTAATAACCTAATATAATTATTATAAATATGGAACCTCCCATTTCCTACTCTTTCCTTCCTCCGTTTCCCTAACTCCAATAGATTATTATTAACAATTATTTCTTTAAAAAATAAGATCTAGTATGTACTAACATTTACATAAATTTTTAATTATTAATTTTAAAATGTTGGTGAGCAACAATATGGTATTAGAAAAAATTTAGTGTTTAACCACTTTATTTTTAAAAAATAAAAAAAATTATTTTAAAATTATATTATTTTAATAAAACATTATGAGAAAATGTCAAAAATAATCTAATTCATATTTTAAAAATAATGTATTTTAGTTTTTTAATAAAAATTTATTAAGACAACATAATTTTAAAATGATTTTTTTCTTATTTTTTTTAAAGTAAGGTGAATGAGAATTATTTTCTTAAAATTAGTTAAATATCAAATTTAATTCTTAAACTTTTAATTTTGAATATTTTTAGTCCTCAAATTATTTTTTTTATTTTATGTTTTTAAACTATTATAAATACACATCTTTTAATTTTTTCGTTAGTTAATCTATTAACTTTATTTATAAATATATTTTTAGTCTTTAAACTTATAATATATATGCATATTTTTAGTCTCTAAATTTATAAGTTTAGAGACTAAGAAGATATATATCTAGATAAAGTTAGCAGATTAATTAACAGAATTACTAAAAAAAAAAAGTATATTTTTCATAGTTTGGGACCAAAAAGAGTATAAAAAATAAATTAGAGACTAAAAATGTCTACAATTCAAAGTTGAGGGACTAATAATGGACATTTAACCTTAAAATTTTCTTCACTTTTTCTGTGCAGCGTGGAAAGGATATAAGAGAGAGCGAGTGGGAATTGGAAGGAACTACAGTCCACGGACTGCTACCTTTCCAAGTAGGCCTTGACTAATGACAGCAACAAGGAGAAAAGTAAGAAAAAAAATATATTAAATCAAACCCATAGAATAAACTTCTGATTTATATTTATAAAAATACAACCAATCTAATCAAAAGCCCAAAACCCCTTCTCTTCCAAGCTCCGCAGAAAACGACCGCCAAAATTCTGTTTCTCGGTTCTTCCCTTGAATTACTTTGCAAATTTCCGCACTCAAAAAGATTGATTACACCCAGATTTGTTAGATTTTGGCTGGAGAAACAGAGGCATGGAGTGGGTAATTTAAGAAAGACTCAGGGAATCTTGTGTCTTATGGCATGTCAGTGGAACAAGAAGCACTGCATTGAAGGATTTGGTTCGATTCTCAGTTTTCTCCTTGCTATATTGTCTTTCACTTGTAGAGATCGTTGCCGGAAGTTGGATCGATTTCTGTTGGTTCTTCCTTGAAAAAGGCAATGAGAACTTTCTGGGTTCTGCTCTTATTTTTCCCCTTCTTTGCTTCAATTGGTACTTTCTCATCTTCCTCTGCTATCTTTAACTCTGTTATGGAGTTGATTTTATTGACTTTTGCCCCTTAATCTGAATTGGGTTGATCTCAGAATTTGTTGATTTTTGTTTTGAACCAGCATATGGAATCTTCCTAGTTCTTCTGGAAGTTTGGCCTTGTTTTGGTAACTGGGTTTTCGTTTCTATGGGGGGTTTATGTAGGGTTTTTCTTTTTATTTTGATAACATAGAACTGCGTTGGTAGTTGTGAAGTGAAAAACTGCTCCTTTCTGAATTGGGTCTTTTATTTGAATTGATTCTCTTAATTCGTGAAAAATTTATTCTTCAGATTGATTACGGTCTAAGCAGAAAGGAGATTTCTTTATTTTAGTTGCAGCCATATATGCATGGGTTTACTGTGTGTAAGGCTTCTGTCTTAGTTTTCTGCCTGGTCGTAGTTGCTATATTGAAGATTGGGTTTTCCAGATTTTTTGGGGAAGTTTCTGTTTATATATTGGTTTTATTTTATTTTTATTTTTATTTTTATTTTTTGGTTTTTTAACAAGAAATGGCCTGTTTGTATACTGATTATTGTGATCCGAGTTTAACTTATGATTTAATTTTCTGTTTGTCACTTGCTATCAAAGGTAAAACAAGATAGCTTCTTACGAATTTGTTATAGATTTCTGTAAATGACAGTAAGTTAAATCTACTTAGCCATGTTGAGGTTTCATCGTACAATGCCAGAGGCAAAAAGAGCTTAGGATTTTATGTTTCCTAAAAATTAGTTGACAACATTAAATTTTATTTTCCTGCTAAATTGTTTATCAAAATAGTTATCCGGTTAAAAGATAAAAAACTCAAAATGTCCTATACTAACTGTCTTGATTGCTAAAAAATCTTTTAATTACTGTTTTAATCTCCTTGCATGCCAAATGTTGATTAGAAATAAATGAAAGTGGCTTATGGAGGTATCCCTGTTTGTTTTCCCAGCTGCCCTGACAGTACAAGGATTCACTGGAACATATGGAATAAATTATGGAAGACTTGCAGATAACATCCCTTCACCAGATGAAGTTGTTACCCTTCTCAGGGGAGCTAAAATAAGAAATGTTAGGATTTATGATGCTGATCACAGTGTCCTAAAGGCATTTAGTGGCACAGGGCTTGAAATTGTGGTTGGACTTCCAAATGAAAATCTGAAAGATATAAGTTCTGATGCAGATCAGGCCATGAGCTGGGTTAAGGACAACGTGCAGGCATTTCTTCCTCAAACACGTATTCGTGGAATTGCAATAGGGAATGAAGTCCTGGGAGGAACTGATACAGAACTCTATGGAGTTCTTTTGGGTGCAGTGAAGAATGTTTACAATGCAGTAAATAAGCTAAAGTTAAGTCATATAGTTCAGATTACCACTGCACATTCATATGCTGTTTTTGCTGATTCCTTCCCTCCCTCGTCATGTGTGTTCAATCATAATATCGCTCAGTATATGAAGCCCCTCTTGGAGTTCTTCTCACAAATTGGTTCTCCTTTCTGTTTAAATGCTTACCCATTTCTGGCTTACAAGGATACACCAGATAAAATTGATATCAATTATGCTCTCTTCAGTCCAAATCAGGGCATTGTTGATAACAAAACTCATCTGCATTATGATAACATGCTTGATGCTCAGATTGATGCTGCCTATTGGGCACTAGAAGATGCTGGGTTTGAAAAGATGGAAGTCATTGTGACTGAGACTGGCTGGGCTTCAAGTGGAGATAGCAATGAAGATGGAGCAACAGTAAATAATGCAAGAACGTATAATTATAATCTTCGCAAAAGGCTTGCAAAGAAGAAGGGAACTCCTTTCAGACCAAAAAATGTGTTGAAGGTATATGTTTTTGCAATTTTTAATGAAGATAATAAGCCTGGGGCAACTTCTGAGAGGAATTTCGGACTGTTTAAGCCTGATGGGAGTATTGCATATGATATTGGGTTTCATGGGCTTAAATCTTCATCAGCAGATACATCAGTTTTATCTTTGAAGGTATGAGGTCTCTTTCCTCGTGTAAAACATACAATCTCAGATATGTTATATCTACCAGATTTTTTCTTGTTAGTCTTCTCTGAAAAAACTCTTGCTTATTGTCCTTGTAATTTTCTGTCTGTAACCATGTTGCCATGATGATTTTTATTTTTGTTTTTACTTTTGGTTCTGATTGAAGGAATTTTATTGGATAAGGAAAGGGGATTGCATCAGGAGGAGGTATCACTAGTACAAATTTACCTTTCATTCTTAGTATTAGTAAATATAGTCTGTGGATAGGTTATGAAGAAACTCTTTTACTTTTCATGTTTGTGAGAAAGCTTGGAGTTGTTGAATGAACCATCGTTTTGTTCATGATGTACTCACTAAATGAATTAAGGGCACTTCCCATACACCATCGTAGCACATCTATACCTTTTTTTTTCTTTGGTGTGTTGCATCTCATAGGATTGCACTAACAGTCTTCCCTCATGGTTTATTTCTTTGGGCTGCTCTAATGGTCTTCCTGCATGATATAGAACTGTTTTTCCATTTTTTGTTTAATGAAAATAGGGCAATTATTTAGGGATAGGGGAGTCATTGTTTGCTGGTCATTTTTGTGAAACTAGAAGTTACTTACCTACAAATAAAGTGTCCCATATATATGATCCTGGGGACATAACTTTTGCTAGAGATGCTTTAGACTGGTGACCAGCAGGGCTTATGGTTTTCAAAATTTACTTATTACTAGGATATATGGATCGAATTTGTTCATCATCATGCATGTGTTTTGGATAGTTGATTAAGCAATAAAGTTCTTTAGTTCTACAACTCTCTTTCATTTTCTGGTAGAAAGTTCTAAAACTTTAACTATCATATTATTTTTGCAATTGTTCTGCCTTATCAAGTGGGTATGAAATCCCACTTTAACAATCCACAAAGAGACTTTATGATGTGTGATGTAGAAAGCGCAGCACAACAGATCTTCTCCATGCACTAGGAACAATAGGCTATTTGCACTGCAGTTAAAACTTTTTAACTCTTAGAGGCGCCCTTTTGTAGTACACTAAATCTTGTTTTCTGTTCCTAGCTAGTAGCTGTTCAGCAGACTTGATTTCTTAGGCAACAATTTGTAAAGAATTCAGAAATGCTAGATTAAAACCCATTTAGTATTGTGGCTGGTTTCAGAATAAAATTGGAAACCTAAATTTTGTATTTCCATTTGTTTCCATTTTCAGAATAAAAGAAAAACAGTGATTACCAATAAAGCTTTCTTTTTATCAGTTTTGAGAACTTTATTAAACAAGTTGTAGTTTTGGTTTTGGCTTCCAATTGCTAGTTGCTAGAAGAGTTTGGAAGATAAGTCGAAGCAAGGTTAATTGGAAAGCTCTTCACTTTCTTGGTGCCGAGCACATGGTTGTAATGAAAAAGAAAAAGAAAATAAAATAACAAGAGTAAAGTTGAGGAAGACAATAACCATCACTTGTAATTTTTTTTTCATACCTCTAGATTGGTTTCTAATTAAGCAAGGGTTCAAATTTGACGTTGCTTTAGCCTTAAAATTGGAGAAATTGCATTTAAATTCAGTGAATATGTTGTTTACTGGTTTTCCTTGTTTAGCCCATTTTGGTTAAAAATAATGGGAAATGGTAAACAGGAGCATGTATCTATTGGTAATGCATATGTTTCTCGAATACTACCTTCTTCTTAGTATTTTTATTTCCCCCAGCTCCTCTGCTTCCTCCTTACCTTTTCTTATATGGTCATTCCCTGTTACAGGTTATTCAAGCTCAAGGTTTATCTGGGTCATATTCTCTGGTTTTAACCCTATGTTCGATATTGCTACTTCTGTTCTTAAGATAGTGGTAAACATTTATAGAGGTTATTACATTATAATCTTTCCTTTTATGGCAAGGCAACATTGAGAAAGTGGCAGTTATAGGTTTGCTCCTATTTCATATCAGACTCCGAAATACAAAAAAATACACCTGATTTTTCTGTCTTTTAGAAATGCATGCTCAATTGCTGATAGTTTTATGTATCTCAGCAAATGTATATTGCCTTTTGGCAGAATAAATCTTTGATCTTAATTGTACACGGTACCTGCAGTACCATTGCCCTTTTCATGGAATCATTTCTGCGTAGGATTTATGTATCGCTTATACATAAGCTGTTGATTTGTGGAGATAAGTTTCTCTCATTTGAGCATGCTGTATTCAATCTCAATCCCGTAATCACTACTCTCTTTGTCTGAAAATAATTGATATTTTTTTACTCAAAATAATTATCATTTTTTTTGTATTTTTTAAGGGTGACAAATATTTTTTTTCTAAAGTGTATTGTTATCAAGTAACTTTAATTATTCAACAGATCACCAAATTCTTTTAATCTTTATCTCTTTCATAATGATAATATAGATAAATATATAAATTATTTTTAAATTCTTAAATTCTGTTTAGTGTGATTGTGATTTTGAGTTTTTGATTTTGGTTTTCAAAAATTAGGAAGTTTGAAGTTTTATAAATTAATTAAATTTAAAGTTGAATCTTAATTTTAAAAATGTATACCCAATAAGTTGTTAACTTTAATTTTTAATTTATCTTTAATTGTTAATTTTAGTTAATTGAATTTTAAAAATCAAAACTAAAAATCAATGATTAATGTGTTTTAGTTGATTGAATTTTTAGTTTGCCTTTATACTCTTACTAAACAGAAAAAATGGTGGCAGTTTGGCAGGGATTAATGTTTTAGCCGAGGCGTAACTTATCTTCTTTATTTTTGTAATATATGTATATTTTTTTTTGGTAAAAATCTACTTTTATCCCTTTTATCTTAATAAATTTGTAAGTTTTAAACTTTTTACTTTATATTATGATATTTTTAACCCTCACATTTACGAATTGAAGAAAAATAACCCTTCACTTTTACAAATTGAAAAAAATAATTTTTACAAATTGAAAAAAATAACTTTTACTTGATTTCTGTTAATGAAATGTTAACAGTCAACTAATGAATATTATAACTTTACGTTAAATAAGGGTTAATTTTTTTTATTATATAGATAAGGAATTAAAAATATCATAGTATAAGTTGTGTGGTTTAAATTTATAAATTTATTAATGTAAAAGATTAAAAGTAGGTTTTTATTTTCTTTTTTTTTTGCTAATGTATTGAGTTTTTTTTTTTTTTTTGGGTACACTGCTAATGTATTGAGTTGCTTAACTGTTGCCGAGGTTTAAACGCGTAACTATTGGACCCTAATCATGGTTCTTAAATTGTAATACTCCAAAATTTTGTGATATTTTAGCATTAAGTTAAGGACTAAATTGTGAAAAAATACTATTTTGGGCTTAATAGCCAAAATTTCCAAGTTGAGGGACTTAAAAGAAAGGAAATGAGATAAGGATCAGCTGATATTTTTATTTCCTTTCTTCCCAGCCATACACGTTTCTGCTCTGCTCTTCTTCTTCCCCGACAAGCTGCCCAAGCCACCGATGCTCCCTCTTGAGGAATCGGTAAAAGGGCTTGATGATTTACCTTCTTTTCTTGTTAAAGAGCAAAATTAGGACTTAGAGCTCTCCCTTTTGAAGTAGAATTTCCAGATCTGCTCTGTTCTCCTCTCCCTCTGTCCGTCCTCGAGCTGCAGCTTGTGCGAATTTCTGGGCATTTTTCTGGTCAGATTCAGCCAAGAAATCATCTCTTTAACCTTGATTTAGGCTGGGTTTACCTTAATTGCTTTTATTTCCTTCCAATTTCTGGTAGCCGTGAGTTTCCCCCTGCAGATTGCCGTCGGCCTCCCTACCTGCTAGCTCCGGTGTTGGCTGCTGGGAAATTCTAGTATGGACAGCCCTCTCAAGTCTGAATTTATCAATTAATTGTTGTCCATTTAGTTGCCCTGTGTTGTCCGAAAATCTGCTGGGATAGGGGATGAATTTGGCAGCCCTTTAAATGTGTTTTGTTGTTTAAATTATGTGGAAATTACTTGAATTGGCTGCTGTGATGTTTTGTGTGAAAATCTCATGAATTAGCTATTGCTTTGTCAAGTCCGGTTCCTCCATGTTGTCCGTGGGATTGGGAAAATTATGCATGTGTATTTATGTGTATATATAAATACACAATCTGACCTTATTGCAAATGTAATTGCAATATTAGGTGCTGTTATGGCTTAGTGCACTTGGATTGAATCTTCGGTTTATGCGAGTGAGGTAAGTAAATTATGATAACGCCCTTCGATAAGTATATTTTAACTTGTTTTTGAAATGGTGGCAGGACTAAACCCGATTTATACAAATATGAGTATGACTGATTTGAAATGAAATTATTATGTTTTCCATTGAATTGAGCATGCTTACTTGAAGTTTATTTAACTGCCCTGATGATCTGGAAATGATGTGCAAAGTATAGTTTTTCTATTAACTTCTACCTGTTTTGTCTTCGATGTGATCATGTTATCAGTGACCCTACTAGTGGGGGTTTACACGTTAGCACATGTCAATATGTTATTGATAGAACCAGTTCGTTCGAGTGACCCTGCTAGTGGGGGTTATACACCAGCAAATAGTGTAACCTGCTAGTAGGAGGTTTATAACACTGGCCATGACCTATAGAGGAGACGTCTATTTCATTCTTGTACTGTATCCGTTTTTCGTGATTACACTTGTTGGCATGCTATAAGTTTAATTAATGGCTATCCATATTTACTTACTGAGTTTATCTCATAGTTTTTTTTTGTTCACCATTTCAGGAAGCGAAACTGAAGACGGGGAAATCACGGGAAGTGACGAGTTAGAAGGCTAGCCATTTCGAGATTGATATAGATTTTAGAAATAAATCATGTTTTTGTAAGATAGATTTTACCTTGAATTTATGAGATCAAAACAGATTTCGGTCATTAGATCAATTACTTGGATTTAAGTCATTTTGGATATAGAAATAAATTGAGATGTTTGATTTAAGCTATTGGACTGTCAGATGTGAATTGGATAAGTTTCGAGTCTCATGCATTTGTGGGATCTTCTTACGAGTGCACGGCGTTTGTTACACCTCGAATTTGGGTTCTGGGGCGTGACATAAATTTTGTAAATATTAACTTTTTAAAAAATTTTGTTGCTTTTTTATGAGATTATCTTGTATAAGAAATTCAACTTTGTTGAGAGTAAACAGTACACACTTTTCTCTCCGTAACTAAACATTTTTTGTATTATTAGTTGGATGACAAAGTAGAATTTATTTTAATGGAACATGTTTTGACTGTTTTCTTCTTCCTCTCTAGTTGAACTTAATAATTCATTTGGAAGATCAAGCCATTTATCAAAAATTTCCCGAGGAAAAGTAATTCCTTTTCGTTGTAAAATAAAAGTATTTGACCAGGAGAAAAAAAGTGAGAATATAAATAAAAAAATAGGATACCAAAAATAAAAAAATTTAAGAGTACGGTGCGTGATTATCACTAATAATAATAATATTATCATTATTAAAATGGTAAAATATTATTTTTTAAAATATTAATTATATTTAATTTGACATATAAAAATAGTTAATAATTATAATTATTAACAAATAATTAATAAAACAATTAATATTTATTAATTAATAAATTAAAATTAGTTAATAAATTGATAACTGTAGATATTAATTAAAAAAAAAACCAAAAATTTGGTGACCTTAATGATATTAATAGTGGCAATAAGCACACCTAGGAGTATGCTTCTATTATTTCATTTTACCAAGTTCATCACACAAAGCTTATAAGCTTATATATAGGTCAAAGGAAACAAGGGGTTTACATATTTCAATAAAACAACTTAAGTAAATTCAAGAATGAAACTAAGTGGTTCCATAACTATAGCATAGTCAATTCATGAAGGAAGTTTAGTTGATACTTGAGTTGTGTGAGTGGAAGGTGAATACAAAATTCATAATATTTAGTAAAAACTTTAACCCTAATGGATAAAAACCATGGTGAAGAAAAAGAGAATGTAGTGCATATAATCCTCTCCCTTACTTCAATGAAGATTCAATCCATTTTTGTTAGGCAGCCATTTCACTAGTCTTCTAAAGCTTATATATGGAAAAGAACTCAGATGAATGATGTTGGATTAAATCTCCTTTGACATATCATTCATTCCTTTATTTGTTCAATGCATGCCATATTATTGTTATATAGTAACATTATACCTCTTACAATTGTTGGAAGGTCACATACTTTTTGAACATGTTAGGTCAAAAGTCATCATTATATATACATTCTCAACTAGCCTAAAATAAATAATTTTTTAATTGTTAAATTTCCATTTTGGTCTCTCTACTTTGGTAAAAAGTCCTTTTTTGGTCCTACTTAGAAAGGCCTTTTTTTGGTTTTTAAAGTTTAAAATTCGACCATTTTTTAATCTTTTCGTTAAGTTTTATATACATGGCACATTAAATGATAAAAATTTCAAAGTAGAGGGACAAAAAGGAGTTAAAATAACCCCAATTTGATCCTTTTACTTTGGAAAAAAATTCCTTTTTTAGTTCATTTGTTTTGAAATTTTCGTCATCTAATATCAAAACTTAATGGAAGGACTAAAAAGAAATTAGATTTCAAACTTTAGGGATCAAAAAAGAATTTTTTTAAGTAGAGAGACTAAAGTGGGGTTTTAACCTTTTTGAATTGTTTTTAGGATGTGGCAATTACTATTCTTTAAGTTGAATGCCAAGAAATTGAAAAACCATAATACATGAACAAATACCTGCACTTTATGGTAATATTATCACAAAAATATTTACTAAATGTATATCCAATTGAGTTGAATTATAAGTGCTTTAGATATAGCAATCTTATATCATTTGTCTTTTGAAAATAACATAATATATATTTATTACTTTTATTTCATTTTACTAACTTTGATAGTCAATGTAAATCAACATCTTATTGATAAACTTTCAGAAAATGCTATATCATAGCACATATATTATCAAAAGATACATTAATGCATCAATTGTGATGGTCCTTCTGGACCAAAAGAATTTTTGAATGATGAAGAGTATCATCCATAATATCAAGAAATTGAACCACTATTAGTTAGCTCAAAGCATGAGTTTTATCTATGTTGAAGCACTCTAAATTAATTTCTTATTCATAGTTTGATTGATGAAAAAAAAAATTTTTTGATAAGAATATCCTATTGTTTCGAGACTTTTCATCTCATAATCACTCTTTAAAATATACTATTATTTTATCCAAACTTGTCAAACATTCAATGATATTTTCATTAACATATTGTGCAACAATAACAACTTTCTCTTTTAATTTTTTAGAAAAAAAAATGCAGTAATGTGATATTTTTAAAACCTTTTTCTTTTAGAAGGTAAGCATTTTGATAATTAGACCACTTTTTTTTCACAGTAAATGCCGCTCTAAATTTTGAGTTATATTCTTCGACATTTGAATCTTTCATTTTATGCTTTTAGGATAAGCTTTAGGGATCATATGCTTTAAACATATTAAGCTATAAGCTTCTCATGTCTTACAAAAACTTTTATATAAATATAATTATTATATATTCAAATGTTGCAACGTCATAAAATGCATTTGAAGTCCTTCAATCTTCTAAGATACATATGATAGTAACAAAATCTATCATAAAAGAATATCCTTTCCATAACTTATTTTAATTTTTAATAAGTAGTTTAATGGTAATTTTTTTTATTAAAAATAAAAAAAATTTAAATTTAAATTGCATAGCATGTGAAGTGAATTAAGGATTAAAGAGGATTACCTCTTATGATATAGCCTTCAATAGAAAAAAAAAGGAGGATAAATATTTTTTTCCCTACATTAACTCTATTACTATTCATTAACTTTAATTATCTACACTATTATCAAAATTTTCTATTTATTTTTATCACTTTTCTTAAGAGTAACATTTCTAAATACATAACTTATCTCTACATTCTTAATTTGTAAAAAAATATATATGTATATATTTTAGATTAAAAGAGGTTAATATAATCAACTAAGAAAATGCGAGTTGCTGAGTGCATGCGCTCTAAGTTGTGGTTGGTCCGAATGCAATCCTTAATTTCTGAAAAAATAAAAAAATAAAAAAAAATAAAAAATAAAAATAACCAGTAAATATAACCCTTTGCGTTGGCCATTATTATTTACTTCCTAGGTACTCATCTCCGCCTGAACCAGATAGGGTCTGAAAAGAATGGAAATGTTCAACTAAAAAGGTGTTCATTTTCTAAAGATAAGAAGTTGAAAATGTAAACGATTCCAAGGGAACAAGATTCATCTTGTTACATCACGTAACGGGGACATCCCAACTGCCAATGGACCGGTTCAACCTTACAAAATAGTCGGCTAAAAAAAATCCCTATAAACTAATTCAATTATCAAATAATTCTTTTGCTGAATAATTAATTAAATATAATTAAAAGGAAGAATTTGATCTTTTTGTCATATAATAATATAAGAATGATCCATCAATATATATATATATATAAGAACGACTGTTCTGTCACGACATTTCCACAGAAGACCAAAATTTAACAGGTTTTCTATTAAAACGTGTAAATTGTAGCTTCCACCCCCAAATTTTGAATATCTGCATCACTCCATAGAGGTAGAATAGGAGATCAAGATTACAAAACTTCAACGATATTGATTACTGAGAGTCCTCATTAGGAAAATAGAACATGGATGTAATATTGCCAAGCTCAAGTTCCATAAATATAGATTACGTATTGCTTTACAAATGTTGTTCAATATGTTTAACTTAAAACTCAAAATTAAAAGTTTTAAATTAAAATTTTTAAATTAGATAAATTGTACTTAGAAAAAGAAAAAAGTTATTCTTCTTTATATGTCCCATCATCTTATGCGTATCTAAAATATATATATATATAAACTTTTTTATTTACAAAAATTAGTTTAAGGTGCTCAAGTTATTTTCAATTATTATATAGTAATAGTTTAATAGAGTTTAAGATCTGAGTATTGTCTTATACTAAGTTATGATTTGAGTTTAAAGGTTATAATAAAAAATTAATTTTCCTAAATTATTAGAAGAAGATAAGAGGAACATTCTTGTTTGAGAGGAGGAAAAAGATGGTATTTGGTTATGAAGAGAAGAAAAGGAATGGAGTCTCTGAAAGTGACCGTGAAATAAAGAAGGGAAAATCGAAATCGGTGCATTTTTCTACCCTGAGAAAACATTGCCGTTTTCCAAGTTTCGAGTGCGAATTTCTTTTCGCAGCCCGTACTGAAAAAAAAAAAAAAAAAAAAAAAAATCGAAAATTGTAAATAGGGATTGGGGGTGGTGAAACTACAAGCGAATGGTGGGGTTTGAACCACCACCCTAGCGTTCTCCTATGGATGAAGTGGCTTTTGGCCACTTGCGCCATTGGTGTGAAAGTAGTGAAACAACTTTTATAGGCTTATTTTAAAAGAAAAGGTTAAAACCCCTTTTTGGTCCCTGAACTATTATACGGACCTCTGATTTAGTCTCTGAACTAACAAAATTCCTGATTTGGTCCCTACTGTTTACCATTTTTATCCCAATTTGGCAATAATCCACGTGAAAGATAATATAACCAAAAAGTGATGATGTGGAAAAAATAATAATATAAAAAAATATTATGAAAAATAAAACTTAAAATTTTTTTTCTTTTTTCTTTTTTTCTTTTTTCTTTCTCCTTCCCCTTTCCCTTTCTCTTTCTCCTTCCCCTTTCTCTTCTCTTTCTCCTCGGAACCCAGCAGGCCTGGGTTCCTTCGAACCCACCCAGGCGCTGGGTTCCTTGCAAACCCAAGTGCTGGGTTCGCAAGGAACCGAACCCAGCACGCTTGCCTGGGTTCGATGGAACCCAGCACGCTTGGGTTCGGTTCCTTGCAAACCTAGCGACTGGGTTCGCAAGGAACCCAAGCATGCTGGGTTCGCGTCTGGGTTCGCATCGAACCCAGCATGCCTGGGTTTGGTGGAACCCAACACGCTTGGGTTTGGTTCCTTGCGAACCCAGCGCCTAGGTTCGCACCGAACCTAGCATACCTGGGTTTGGTGGAACCTAACACGCTTGGGTTCGGTTCCTTGCGAACCCAGCGCCCGGGTTCGCAAGGAACCCAAGCGTGCTGGGTTCGCAAGGAACCCAAGCGTGCTGGGTTCGCAAGGAACCCAAGCGTGCTGGGTTCGCAAGGAACCCAAGC